TGACTTTTCAGAATAGTTGTGTCTTTCCTCAAATATTCAATAGTTAATTTCCTTGAAGGTTTTTTTTTTTGCCTTCTCATTTCTCATTTTCAAATCATTTTTAGTGATGTGGGATTAAGTTCCTAATATACCCACAAGTTTTACGAAAAAAATAGACGGTGTTGGTGAAAATGACTAATGATAGAACACATTGTTAAGTTATAAGACTAAAGAATCTAATATGAGAATTCAGGAACAAAATTAAACTAGGGATAAAATTCAATGACCATTGCTACAATTAAACTAATAATATTTTAAACTCTAGCAGCGGGTCGAAAAATTTGAATGCAAGGTAAATTTGAAAGAATACTTTTAACTTTCCAATTCATCCAACCACTTAATATTATGATCTAGTAGTATTCATCTTCACTTGTAAATGAGAGAACCTAGATACGATTCTCATCAAAGGCGATTTTGAACTACATTATTATGGCTAGTCTAGTGTAAGGCTTAATTTACTTTCCTATCTCGTTAGTATAAATAATCTTATTTGTTTTAAAAATAAAAACTTTCCAATTCTGCAGTGCGGCCGTTAACTTATTTGACAACACCTCTATCTATGTGAATAGGTGTCCAGCTTTTTTGGGGGTTATGCCAGGATGGAAAATAGGAGACAAGGAGGTAATGATCAAAATTAATTTTTAATATTTGGGTAATGACCAACCAAAATACATTATATATCTCTACGAGTCTTTGTCTTGGTAACTTTGTGATTATCGTACGCATGACAACTGTATATGACTCAGCTCTAGACAAGTTACATTTTTATTAAAGAAGCGATTTAGATGTGGTTTACACAAGTCCCTAATATTTTCTAGCAATAACGTAATTCATGTGTCCATCTCACGAGTTTAATTTCTTGACACAATTTTGATTACATATGTTTTGACCACGCAAATATTGTGATCATAATTGGTAATTTTCTTAATCCTCTAACGTACAAAAGAAAAATCAAACTAGCTACGATATAATCGTTTATATTATAAAACAAATAGATAGTTAATGAGATGATTAAATGATTAAATGATTGAATGACTAAATGTTATAAGTATGTCAAGATGGTTAAACCATCTCTAATTTGATTGATTTTTTTTTCATGAGATGGCTAAAATGATTGTGTTAAAAATTTATAAAGATGGGTATAAGGAAAGAAAATTATAAATAAAAAACAAAAAATTATTTCAAGTGTTTTTTTTGTTCATTCGTCTCTTTTTCGTTTTCTTGAATACAAGAGATATCAGTATTTTAATTTACACTAGAGAAGAGAGCAAAATTTAAACTCGGAACACAATAAGTTGAAAAGTAAATTTGAAATCTCCGATTCATGCACTGGTGACCATGATACTCAGGTACTGGTGGCATGGCACGGCTCCCCGCTTTTAAGAATTTCTCCTTGCTTAAACATTGACGTTAAAGTAAGCAAGTCACAAAATAAAGTGTTGAGTTTAATTTCTTCGACTTTTTAAGTGTAGCTGGAGCGCATCTTGCACTTGGCATTTACTCTTTGACTCTTAGTGATGTGGCTTATGTTGGAAAAAATAAGATCTAGTTGCTATATTAGGAACTTCAACTTAAAATTTAAAAAAATAATAGAAAAAAGTTAAAAACCATTGTATCTAAAGCTTAAGGGACAATACTTGATTACTCAAAGATGAGTAGGAACTTCTACCCAAAATTTCTCAAAATTGTTCGTGGTCAATTTATAGAATTTCGTGTTTATAATCAGAACCATTCATATTATAAATCACCCTATAAAGATCGCCTCTGTAAAAAATCAATTAAACTAATGTCGTTTAGTCATCAAACTGTTTAAAACAAATGAACGGTATTTGTAAAAGTATTACGAACTGTTTATGTATTCGTTATAATAGATTGACCAAACAACCTTAGTTTTATTTATTTATTTTTGCAGAGATGATCTTTACAGTGTAATTCATAATATGAACAATTGTAATCATAAGCACAAAGTTTTGTGATTAAAACACTAAGAGTTTTGAGTAGGAGTTACTACTCATCTTTGAGTAGCCAAATATTGTTCAAACTTCAAACAAAATGAAGTTTGAATTAGAAATACAAAATGAAAATGGTTGGACTTTAACTTTTAAAATAGACAATGTGATTTCAAAGTTGGTAGGAGATCAAACTGTGGTTGGACTTAAACAGCTAACAACTCATATATTGAGCTACGAAAAAAGAATTCAGATGTATTCAATTTTCTTACACAATTTTTTGTTGTGATATATTTTTTTTTAAATTCCTTTCTCATTTCTCATTTTCAAATTCATTTTTAGTGATGTGGCATCAAATTCCTAATATATCCTTAAATTTAAGGAAAAAATAGACTGTGTTAGTGAAAAGGACTAATGATACTACATATTGTTAAGTTCGAGGACTAAAGAACCTAATATTAGAAATCAAGAACAAAATTAAACTAGGGACAAAGGTCAAGGACCATTGCAATTAAGCCTTGTAATACTTATATGTTTTTTAAATTCTGTTGTCATGTTGACACAATGGGTTTGAATATACTAATAATATAACGGAGGCCTTTAAGGGAAGGGAATTCTATTTTTTTTAAAAAGGAAAACTAATGAAAATGGCTTGAAAACTTTGAGTTTTAATGATAATGACAAAATAAAGGGTAAAGTGAATAGTAACATGATTGACTTTTTAGTGTAAAAATGCGGTTTTTCGTTAAAGTGAATAGTACCGGGTGCTTTTCGTTAAAGTTCCCTTTTTTAAATGGAGATTAGTAATGAGGCCCATACCATATCAAATTTATTTTTCAAGTTGCACCTTATAGATCATCTTTGCAAAATATTTGGAAAATATTTAAAACATCTAATTGAGTTCAAAGAAATTAACGAATACTTTGTTATATAAGAAACAATGAAATTTCATCGTGATAATTAAATAGACAAATGGTTTCAAATTGAATTGAATTTTTGAAAGGATGATCTATGAATCGAGACTTATAAAATTGATGATTTAGATCATTGAAGTTCGATATGAAAGCGGCCTTACAACTAATTCCTATTTTTTTTAAAAGTAGGAATCTCTTTGTATAAAGGGTTTAATAATATAATAATCAAACTTATAGAGCGGGTCGAAAAATCTTAGTACAAGAAGAGTAAATTTGAAAGAATGCTTTTGACTTTCCAATTCATGCAGTGCGGCTGTTAACTTATTGGACAACAAAGAAGAGAAATGATCCTAATCACATATATTCATCGTACACTGTGCAATCAATTTTCGTCAAATACTATTTATATTCAATTTTAAATAAAAAAATTACAATAATTTATGACCTTACAATATACGATGAACGAATGTGATTTGAGGATCCAGCGAGAATCCTCACTCAACAAAGAAGGAAGGTTCACTATTTTTTTGGGGTTATGCCAGGAAGCATGGAGAAAAGGAGACAAGGAGGTAATGATCAAGTTTAATTTTTAATATTTGGGTAATGACCAGCCAAATACATTATACATCTCTTTCAGTTTTTGTCTTGGCAACATTGGGATCATCATCATCGTATGCATGACAACCATGTAAGACTCAACACTGGACAAGTTAGATTTTTATTAAAGAAATGATTTAGACGTGGTTTACAGGTCTCTAATATTTCCTAGCAATAATGTAAAGGACAATACCTGCGTCCACCTTCTCGACACAATTTTGATTATTTATATATTTTGACCGTGTAAATATTGTAATCAAAATTGGTAATTTTCTTAATCCTCTGTGCCTATAGAAAAATCAAACTAACGACTGTATAATCCTTTATATGTATAAAATAAATAAATCAATCAATATAAGTATGCCAAGGTGACTAAATGACCTTTAATTTGATTCATTTTTATTTCATAGATGACTAAATGATTGTATTAAAAAAGTTATAAAGATGGGATAACAAAACAAAGTTACAAACCAAAATCCAAAAATAATTTCAAGTTTTTTTCGTTCATGCTTCTCTGTTTCTTTTGAAGTACAAGCGATATTACTTTAATTAATCTCAAACTCTAAATCCTAATTTGATATATATATATATATGTACACTCAAATATAATACAAATTTAGTATATTAGATGTAGCATACACAAGTTCATGATGCCACATGCATAGGCAGCACCACTGTTATAAAAATCTCCGCCTAGACCATCAAGGCGGCCACCTAACCTGCCCAAACCCGCCTAGGCATCTGCTTAATTTGCGACTCTTACTTAGACAGAAAATCATTTGCATTTTATTTTTTCAATAAATTGTAAGAGACTTGTTGAATACTTGGATGAGCACACATTATATTTGTTCCCATGTTTTTCATTATGTTCTAATACTTGATAATCTAGATGTCATTATATTTTGTAATTTATGTATACCATTGCAATTATGTATTTTCTATGTATATAATTATTCACTTATTTACATGATATATAATATCCGTCGCCTAGGCGCAAAGCCTCAGCCCACCGCCGACTAGCGATTAACATCTTTTAGAAACTTGGGTACCACGAATGCAACCCATTAGTACGTGTATGAATACACACGCCAGTTAATTGCGGTCTCGTTGCCTCTGGGAGTGCCATCATGAAACAGGCCGATCCCCATTGGAAGGAATGGGCAGTAACAGCAGTTGGTTGGAATTGTACTACCAAAAATAGTCTTTTTCCAATTTATGCACTGCCGTTGTTAATCGGACTCAAGCCCGATCCATTTGATTTTGAATATGTATCTGATTCCATCCAAGAAAGGTGGACTCAAGCGAGTTGTCCGATGCTAGAATAATCTCCCTATATTGATTTGGATGTGATTCCAAGAGCCGAATGAGAATGAATACTACACATAAGAGTCAAGATCGGGCTCCCTAATAGAATGTTGAACCGATCCATTTCGGATCGACTGAATTGGCATGGCCCTGATTCATAGCCCTAAGTGAAGGGACAATAGTAGACTCTGCCCCATGAAGTAGTTTCTTTTCTTGCATTCCGAATCAATTCTTTTAAAAATATAAAGTCTAGCTTATTATCCGAATTTATATTCCTAAATCTGGAAGATATAATATCTTTCGTAGTTTAAATTTCTAATAAAATATTTCTAAACAACAAAAATTGACATTGAATGAGACTATAAGTGAAACGCAGCCCAAGAGTTACTATTTCGGGCCTCGCAACATGCAATGGCTCCAAACTGCCTGGGGCCTTGGGCGCCATGATAGATTCTCGGGCACTGACGACGTTGCACGTTCGGCCGCAACCAAGAATTTCTCCCATGGAATCCATTACACAACAAAGTGCAGACTGCAAATCAAAAGCATATATGTTTCCAACAACAAAGTTTCTTCTGGACATTCCGAATTCCTGTATTGCAAATAATGGTCTAAAGCGGTCTGATCTCAAAATACATGGAGGAGGCATAAGTAACAGCAATTGGTTAGAACTGTACTACTAAAACTGTGATGATTGAGTAAAACTGTAAAACCAAAACATAACATTAATTGGCCAGAATCTTAACACCACAGTGACTAACTGGTTAAGGATCTGCCAACGAAGCTCATGAGAACGAACCTAATCTCTGCAAGGCCGCTAAAGCTTTACATCGAGGGTGAGAGGTGACGATCACTAAACCTAAATATAAAGCATATGAAACTATCACCTTACAGTTGCTTAGTCTGCACGTCCAAAGCTATACGGATTTGGCTAGTCTAGTTTCACTGTCAATAAACGCTAAACTAACATATAAAGCATATGAAACTATCAGCTCTCAGCTGCTAGAGTCTGAAGTTTCATAGCCATATGGATTTTTGCTAGCCCAGTTCCACTGATCCCGGCACATGTCATCAATGCAATATTTTGTCCTGCAAGGAAATTACAAATGTAAGATTTAAGGCTTGATGTCAGACCGCATAAATTTTTCATAAAAACTCAGTACTCACTTCCAGTTCAGTTCCCTCTCTGCCTTTTCTGTTGATGCGTATACAACTTCAGCATCACCAGGACGCCTCCCAGACGTGACAAGAGGAATTTTCTGAAATAGTAACAAGTAAACAAATAAGCTTAACCAAAATAACAAATTGTCAAAGAGAAAGACTGGCAAATGTTGAACAGAACATATATTGTGGAAGTGGAACAAGGTCCAAGATTCTTCCATTAGTGAGTTAATCAACAGAATTGAACACAATATTCTCCAACTACAGAAATCCTAGTATTCGCTTAATTAGAATAGTCATTCTTTAGCCGCTGGGGGTGGTTAAGTGATCTAGTGCGTGGACTTGGTATGTCTTAGGTTTGACCCTTTCTAATAAAGGAAAATGAAAAAGTTCTTGTCAGATGAGCCAAGCTAAAACCACTGTGGTAAACATCTTGTTCCAACCATGTCCAAATTCTGAAACGTTATCCACACTTCTGTCCAAATTTGATATAAAATATTTGACTATGCAAATAGGAGTCACCTCTATCCTAACAACTGAAATTAAAGTGATGTACAGACAACATTTCGCAGAATGAGACCCCAATTTTACATTTAGCACGATGTATCATAACAGAGAATTAGGGTCCGGTAACCAATACAACAACTAAAAATATAGAAATATTTGCAAAAACAAACCTTTCCAGATGCCTTTTCAAATGCTGCAACCATCTCCAAGACTGATGTTCCTTTACCTGTTCCTAAATTGTACACCTCGCAACCTGTCAATTAATACAGAGTGTAAATACATTCAACATCTCTGTGGAACAAAGGCAAAATAAAATGGGAAAGTTCTAGATTAAACTTTGTCTGAACCACATTAGCATGAAATATATAAACACCAAAGCATCACATGTGAGGCAAGACGTATTAGATAGTTTGAGGGTGTGGTCTGGCATAAAATAATCTCCGTATCAAACTAACAGAAACAGGTCAAGTATCACAGACAAAGAAAATGGCGATATTAGGACCCCTACCTATGGTACCCTCGTCTAGCTTGTGCAATGCAGCGATGTGCCCATCTGCTAAATCACATACATGAATATAATCACGTACCTGAAATGGGATAAACAGCATCAAAATTAATCCTCCAGCAATATTATAAGCTTAAGAGAAAAGGAAAAACAAATGATGTCACCTAAATCCCCAAAAATTCGTGATTAATCCATACAATAACAAAGGTAAAATATTAATGAACACAGATACCAAAACATTAATGAAAATCTCAAGTAATCAAGTAAACTGAGCATCTATATAAATTTGCATAGGGCCCAAACAAGTTAGTGCGGACATGAAAAAATTTGCTTACAGAAAAAGGCTACAATGAATACATACCCCAGTACCATCTTTGGTATTATAGTCAGTTCCAAACACCGTCAGTGCTTGACGCCTGCCTACAGCAACTTGCTGCACAAACGGCATGAGATTGTTTGGTACCCCACGAGGATCCTCACCAATAAGGCCGCTAGGATGTGCACCAACTGGATTAAAATATCTCAGCAATATGATTTTCCAGTCAGAGTCTGAGCGGTAAAGATCACGAACAATTTCTTCAATGAAAAGCTGAAAAAGAAGATAAAGGAGATGAATAAAAGGTAAATCATCTGAACCAAGAAGATGCATAGTGATACCTTTACTGAGAAGATAACCAGACATTTAGAACTAGATACACCTAATTATGGCCATATTCTACCTTAGTTCGTCCATAAGGATTGGCTGCAACAAGTGGGAAATCTTCTGTACATGGGACCACCTTCGGCCAACCATAAACAGTTGCTGACGATGAGAACACAAGCTGAAAGTATTCAAAGTATGTGAAACCCATGTCAATGAAAGATCAGATACATTCAACATCTGAATTTAAAAAATTCTCCCAAGAAGTACTATCATATAAGATTTTGGGAACTTGAAAATGAGAAACCACTGATGCGCAATCAACATTATATCAAACAAAGTTGAAGGAACATTAGAGAGAACCTTTTTGCATCCATGGGCAGCCATGACTTCCAACAGAGTAATTGTCCCAATTATATTGTTGTTATAGTAGAGCAACGGTTTCTGAACACTTTCACCAACCGCTTTGAGTCCACCAAAGTGTATGACAGCATCAAATCTGCAATTTGGAGGTATGAACAAGAAATGTTATATCTGGAACATGATACATTGGATGGCAAAGTCATGATTGGGGGCGCTTTTCGAGTGAAGATGCTTACGGTGTTGAAGAAAAGAGATTATCGAGTCCAGCTTTGTCCCGGAGGTCCTGCTGCAGGTGGAATTGGAAACAGAATTGTGAGAAATCATGATCATCCATGAATCAATGAAACAGTGAACACACTGGAAAAACTCAACCCCATAACAAATTTCAGCCATCACTAAAAAAGGGTGCAAAACTTCAGCCATCAATTCTGCATAACTTTTTTCAGCCGTTATATGACTATTAAGGCACAAAAATCAAGAAATTGCATAAATTTCCCAAATTTTAAAATATAAAAACACAAACTTGGGAACCCAGAAAGCAGAATTACAGTTCTCCAAAAACGCCCACCAAAAAAAAAAAAACCCAATTTGTATATACTTTTTGTTGTTTTGGACTAATTAAAATACCAATTTCTGAGAGTTGGGTATAAATATTCAGTTCAAAAACCAAGAGTGTCGGTCTCTGCCCCTAAAAATTAGAAACTACAACTGATCAAATTTAACAAATAATCACCCAATTAGCAAATGAAACAAAAAATTAACCACAAAAACCAAAATCCAGACCTTGTGGAAGGAGAGGTTTTTGCCAAAATCACGAGCGAGTTCCCTGACACGGTTAATGGCGACTTCAGATGAGTTGTCGAGATTGTCAACGACAACGGTTTTGAAGCCGCCGAGTAAAAGCTGAAGCACGGTGTGGCTGCCGACGTACCCGGCTCCGCCGGTGACTAGTATGCTCTTGGCCATGGAAGCAAGCGAAATGCGGCTGTCAAAACGACAGCGCAGTACACGAGGCAGAGGAGGGCGAGGAATAAGAAGTAGTGGTGGGATTCCTGGAAAGTGTGAAGATTTTTGGGTGCCGCGGCAAAAGCATGGAAAGAAGGCCAATATATAGAAACCGCTGATGGTACCAGTCGCCAGCGGTTACTTTAATTAACCAATTAATTTAGTTAATTAATTTTCCAAAAGGAGGAAGAAGAAGCAAAAGCAGTTTAACGTCTCTCTCTCTCTCTCCTCCCGAGTGAGGAAGTAACTGAAACTTTGGAATAATTAATTGAATAAACAACGTAAAGTTTTGGGGTGGACCAGATCTGACACGTGGAGCGATCTCGTGTGGGGTGGTGATTTGTGAAGGTTCGAAGACTCACATGTAACCATGAGAAACCTCTAATTTGACAAAGAGAACGTAGTGTGAGAGCTCCGTGCGTCGTTACCGACCCTCTCTCTTCTCTTCTCCGTGCGTCGTTACCGCCTTCTGCGGTGGCGAATCTTGACCCAAGTTTTATTTTCTCTGCTCTGGGTCTTTCGGGTAGCAGAGAAAAACCTGATTCGATTGGTATGAAACGAATTCGAACCGACAACCAGCTTGAGAGAGAGGGGTCCGCGATGGGTCCTGAGATCAACTATCCTTTGGAACCACTTCCAAAAATGGACTTCAAGGCCAAATTGATGGGTCTTGTAGATGCTAACCCACAGATGGAAGGGATCCCAGGTGAGGAGACTGACCAATTTAAAATTGGTAATGGGGATTTTGAAATCTATGAGGAACCACGTGGACCTTGCATCAAGTTCACGGATCCAGTCAAATCTCGACTCCTTCGTCCATGGAGAAATGCCATTATTATCAAGATCATGGGTAAGTCTCACACTCACAATTTCGTCCTTGGTCGTCTGCAACAACGGTGGAGCATGCTCCAAGGGCGGTTCTCTCTAATTGATTTGGAAATAATTTCTTTATTGTGAAATTTGCTCTAGAAAGTGATATGAAAAATATTTTGTGCGGAGGACCTTGGATTATTGCAGGACAATATTTGGTTATGCAAAAATGGAGAGCTGGGTTTGACCCTCATAGTGAGTCGATCAACCGTATGGCTGTTTGGGTGAGAATTGTTGGGCTACACATTGAGTGGTTCAATCCGGAAGCCATGAAAAGAATTGGGGATCTTATTGGCACAACTCTTCGGGTTGATGCGCACACTGCCTCCCAAGTTAGAGGCAAATATGCTAGAGTTTGTGTTGAATTGGACTTAACAAAGCCCCTAATTGCTAATGTCAAAGTTGAGAACTGTTGGTATGCTGTGGAGTATGAGGGGTTACACCTTGTTTGCTTCAACTGTGGTTGCTATGGCCATCGTCGTGAACAGTGCCCCTCTCTGATCAGGAAACAATCCACAACTCTGGATCCAGATATAGAGACCAACCAACCTATGGATGAGGTCTCAGTCCAAGACCAAGTTATGAGTTCAAATGTTGGTAAATCAGATAAGAGCTGCCCTACTGAGGTTGGGAAGGATATGAAGATTCATGATTCTCCCTTGATCGGGCCCTGGAGCATTGTGACATATAATCGTCGAGCCAAGCCAAGCAAGAAATCTGAATTGGATCAAAATGCCACGAAGTTGAGTAATTCTGGCTCTAGATTCTGTTCGCTAGGTCTGGAGGATGTTGATCCGAATACTACTGACAAAGCTAAGTCTGTACATGGCAAGGAACATACAATGGAGGGGCTTGAAAAGAAGAAACAAAAAAGAGGTAGACCTAGGAAGGCTCTAGGGGACATCTCTAACGAGGAGAAGGAAGGCTCTAGTGGTTTTAGTATGGGGGCGGCTAGTGCCAATTTAAAGCTTGGAAACACCTCATCCCAGTCACCAAAATCCTCGCTGAGGAAAATCAATGCCAAGTCTAGGCTTGCCACAACTTCTTCCAACGGCGTCCAAGTTAATGGCATGGACTTTCAAGAAAGTGAGTTGGGGAGCTTTAACTTTAATGTTGCTGATCCTCAAGCTGCCTATGATGCAGCAGACAAAAGCATTCAAATTTATGGACATGAACCGCCAGATATTGATCAAAATGATACGGATATGTCAGTTGTGAATTCGCTGGAGAATGGAAGCCTCGTTAATGATGGTTTTGTGTCCTTGGAGAAAGATAGGATTCAAGAAGCCATGATTGATGCTCAAACTGGTTTGGTGGGTGCCCCATCTCCTCTGGTAGAGGAGTCAATATCCCCATTTTGATTGGGTCCATCCCCCAGGTATCCTACATCTTTACTTATTTTATGATGATTATGGTATGGAATGTAAGAGGTGCTGGAGGGAAACCTTTCTCTGTTACTGCTAAAGATCTCGTCAGATTGAACAAAGTGAACATCTTTGCTATCTTAGAACCCAGGATCAGTGGTGAGAGGGCAATTGAAGTCATAAAAGGTTTGGGTTTTTCAAATTATTATGTTGTTGATGCCAATGGTTTCTCTGGTGGTGTTTGGCTTCTATGGAATAATGAGGTTGTGAAGTTGACAGTTGTGGCTTGCTCCTCCCAAACAATCACTGCTGTTGTTTTGGATGGTCAGACTCAGTGGATGTTAACGGTGGTGTATGCCTCTCCCTGCCCTCGAGTGAGGAGCCACTTATGGCCTTATCTAGATGGGGTTTCTGCTGCCTCTAATATGCCTTGGCTTATTGCAGGTGATTTCAATGAATTGATTCATAGCTCAGAGAAAAAGGGGGGTAGGCCTGTTAATAAAAATAGTGGTCTTGGTAATTGGATCTCTAGGAATAGCTTGGTAGACCTTGGGTTCATTGGTGCTAAATTTACTTGGAGCAAGAAAAACGAGTATGGTGATATTGTTTGGGAAAGACTTGATAGAGGCCTTTGTAATATAGCTTGGAGACACCTATACTCTGAGGCTTATGTTAGGCATCTTGCTAAAGTGAATTCTGATCATTGCCCCTTGCTTATCGGCCTTCATTCTAAACATATTCCTAACCCTGATTTGAAAGCTTTCAGATTCCAAGCTATGTGGATGCTTCACCAGGAATTTGAACCTTTTGTTAATGATACTTGGAATAGTGCTCAAGGTGATGCTAGTTGCAAATCTATCACTCTTTCTTCTGCTCTTCAAAGCTGGAACCACAATGTATTTGGATGTATTTTCAAAAGAAAAGAAGGCTCCTAGCTCGTATATGCGGAATTCAAAAGGCTCTCTGCGTTCGTCATGTGCCGTATTTGTTTGCTTTAGAAAATCAGCTCACCAATGAGTATAATACTATCCTTGAGCAAGAAGAACTCTTTTGGCTTCAAAAATCAAGAAATACTTGGCTTAGAGAAGGAGATAAAAATACCAAGTTTTTCCATCTCTCTGCGGTGGTGCGGAGAAGGAAAAATAAACTTGAAGGCTTTAATAATTCTGAAGGAGTTTGGACAAATGAAAAAGAGAATTTAAAGTCGATTGTTGTCAATTACTTCAAAGATCTTTTTTCCTTTCGCATAACGACGACAAATATGGAGAGTTTGCCCCATCTTTTCCCTTGTCTTAGTGGTGAAGACTTAGCTATCCTGAATGGGGAAGTCACTGATGATGAGATTAAAGATTGTATGTTTGCTATTGGTGGTCTCAAGGCCCCTGGACCTGATGGTATCCCTGCTCGATTCTATCAAAAATTTTGGCATCTTTGTGGCAAGGATATTAGCGATATGGTTAAGGTTTGTTTCAATTCAACCCAACTCCCTGACAATATCAATAATACCTTCATCTCATTGATTCCTAAGGTTGATAATCCTACAAGCATGACTCAGTTGAGGCCTATTAGTCTGTGTTCTACTCTTTACAAGGTCATCTCTAAAATTTTGGTGGGTAAATTGCGACCGCTTCTCCATAAACTTGTTAGCCCTACTCAAGTGAGCTTCGTCCCAGGTAGGCAAATTATTGATAATGTCATTGTTGCTCAAGAAATCCTCCATAAGTACAGAAACACCAAAGGTAAAAAAGGGTTCATTGCTTGGAAAATTGACCTTTCCAAAGCTTATGATCGGCTTCAGTGGAGTTTTATTAGAGATGTTCTATGGGAGATTGGGCTAAGAGGGAAAGTCTTGGAACTTATCATGCAATGCGTTACCACAGTCAAATACCAAGCTATTGTTAATGGTGAGATCACTGATTCTTTCTCCCCACATTGTGGAATCAGACAAGGAGATCCCCTTTCTCCCTATTTATTTGTGCTCTGCATGGAAAAACTCTCTCATATCATTACTGGATGCATCACCACTAAGAAATGGAAGCCAGTTAAGCTATCTAGAAATGGGCCTTCTGTCTCTCATCTCTTTTTTGCGGATGATCTTATTTTGTTTGCGGAAGCCTCTTCAACTCAAGCCAGAATATTGAAGGATTGTCTTGATATTTTTTGTGATGTGTCCGGTCAGCAGGTGAATTTTGATAAATCATGTATCTATTGCTCACCTAATATCTCTCGAAGTAAGGCTATTGAAATTGCCAACATCTGTGGTTCTCCTCTCACTTCTGATTTAGGTCACTACTTGGGTGTGCCGTTACTGCATTCTAGAGTCAACAAAGAGACTTATGGCAACATTGTGGAAAAAGTTCAACGGCGACTCTCTGCTTGGAAGAGCAATACCCTCTCTATGGCAGGTAGGCTTGTTTACCTCCAATCAGTCGCCTCTGCCATTCCAATCTACTCAATGCAATCTACTCGCCTCCCAATTTCCATATGTGATAAAATTGATAAGTTGAACAGGAATTTCTTATGGGGACACACTGAGGAAAATTCCAAGGTTCACCTTGTTAAGTGGGAGACAGTATGCACGCCTAAATTCATGGGTGGTTTAGGATTGAAAGATACACATGTTATGAACCAAGCCCTCCTTGCTAAAACTGGCTGGAAACTTATGCAAAGAGATTCGGGCCTTTGGGCGCAAGTTTTAAAGGGAAAGTACCTCAAACACTATGACATGGTGAGTGCTTGCTCTGCTAAGTACACTAACTGTTCTCATACTTGGCGTGGAATCCTCTTTGGTGCCCAAATCCTTCCTAATGGTATGAGATGGAGAGTCGGATCTGGAAGCCAAATTCATTTTTGGAAAGACAACTGGCTTGAGTGTGGTGTGCTCAAAGATTTTGCTACCATCTCTCTCTCAGATGACATGCTTGACTGGACGGTTGAAGACTTCCTTACTAATTCTGGTTGGAATGTAGATTTGTTATACTCCTGCCTTCCTCCTGATGTTGTGGAACATATCTTCAGTTTACATGTTGGAATTGCGAATCATAGGGAAGATAAGGTAATTTGGAGCCTCACCAATTCTGGAACTTTCTCTATGAAAACTGCCTATCTCTCTCTATTTAGCGATGATGATATCATTCACTGGAATTGGAATTTCATTTGGAAACTCAAGTTCCCCCCCAAATTAGTGACTTTTCTCTGGACTATTGGTCATGGGAAAATGCTCACCAATGTGCAGAGAGCCAAAAGAGGTTTTACCAATGATCCGTGTTGTCCAATCTGCCCTACTGTTGAGGAATCTATGGATCATATTTTCAGGTATTGTAGGCACTCTCCTTCCTTTTGGAATAATGTTGGAATCCCTCTTGAAGTTGCCCATTCATTTGCTCTTGATTTCCAGAGTTGGATGGCCATAAATCTTAGGACACACTGTTCTACCATTCATGGTTTACCGTGGAACCTCATCTTTGCTTCAACTCTGTGGTATTGCTGGAAAAGGAGGAACAACTTTGTCTTTAATAATGGACAACAACCGCCTGTCTCGCCCCTTAAGGTTATTTTTCAATTTGCAAGGGATTGGTATGATGCCAACAAGTGTTCTTCTAGTAAGCCTCCTAGACAAATCATCTCGATCCATTGGATCCGTCCGCCAATTGGTAGATATAAAATCAATACAGATGGGAGTTGTAAAGACCTATTTAGCCACATAAGTGCTGGAGGTTTGATTCGCAATTCCGAAGGGGATTGGATTAAGGGATTTGCTGCTAATTTAGGCAGAGGAACCATCATGGAAGCTGAGCTTTGGGGTGTTCTCATGGGCCTTACTATAGCTTGGGACGAGGGTTGCAGGGATGTGATACTTGAATGCGATTCTTGGGATGCTGTTATTTCAATCCAAAAACCTATGTTGGTTTCGCACCCGCTTTACAATCTCATTCTTGACTGCAAAGAAGCCATCGAAAGAAATTGGAGATGCGAAGTCACTCATATCTATAGAGAAAAGAATGCTTCAGCTGATCACATGGCTGACTTGGGTCATGGATTATCCCTTGGCCTTCATGTTTTTGATTCTCCTCCTACCACTGCTACTAATTTTCTAGCTTCTGATTCTATTGGCAGGGCCCTTCCTAGGGCTGTTCTTGCCTAGTTTTTTTTTTTGTTTTTGGTTTGTTTGTCTGGCTTTGCCATCCTCTGTACCAAAAAAAAAAGAAGACTCACATGTCGACCAGCGGAGTGATGGAGACAGGACTTGGGTGTAAAATTACGGAGCAGGAGGAGGCGGCGGCGGCGGTGGGCGGTGATCGGTGTCTGCTTTTTTTAGGTTAAAATCTGGGATTAAAGACTGGAATCTTGGAGAGGACGCGAGATTAAGGTAAAAAAGATTTCATTAAATTTAATTGGACTTATTGAGTTCAAGGTTAACTAACTTCCTCTACGTGTCTAGTGGTTGACATTTATTTTAATTTAAAAATTAAATTTTATTTCTGTTTTTACATCTTACATATGTTTTAATTGAAAAAATTCAAAATTAAAAAAATAATTTTTTAGTTTTTTGTTTTTTTGAACAACAAAATTATCTAGAGGAAGGAGCAGGTTAAGCCCCACAATGAGTTAGTAATAATTAACCACCAACGTGAGTTTGAAAATTCATCCAAAATATGTAAAATATTATATTGGGTAAATTACACAAAACTACCTCAACTATTGGTCTCACAACACCTTCATACCTCATTTTTTTAATGACAATGTAATACCTCATCTTACGAATTTGTGTCAATGTCATACATCTGTCAATTTTTTTGTTAATTTCTTTGTTATGGTTACATGCGAGGCCCACTCACTAATCCAACTGGATTAAAAAATTATTAAATATATTTTTAATAATTAAAAATTAAAAAAATTAAAAATTTTCTTTTTATATTAAATCTTTCTCGCTCCCATATCTCTATCCCCCTTATCTCGCCTTTCTCTATTCTCAACATCCCTAAAACCCCTTCCCACCCTATCCCCCCCCCCCGACCCCTTTCCCACCCGTCCCCCAACCTTTCTCCACCACCCTTCCTAAAAACCCAGATACCCGTGTCCCCTCTCCCCCAAAACCCAGCTCCTCTTCTCCTATCGACCTGTGTTCCCCCTATCCCCCCTAACACAAAAACCATCCTTCACCACCTCACTGCCGCCTCTCTTTCTCCATCTTCACCACCCCACTGTTAGTTAATCTCTTATCCTGATCCACCGACGCACCGACCTTAAGAGAACTAGGAAGATCCTTGAAGGTGCGTGAAGCCACCTACCGGGTTCAGGTCAACATCGTCATTTTCGACGTCTGGGTGCAGATCGTCGGAGGGAAGGGGGTCATCGGAGAAGACTAACTTGAAGAAATCCATGGGTGCAGACCGACTTGAAGATTTGGGTGTAGGATCGGAGGAGAAAGGGTTGGGTGGGACGTGGTGGAGGAAAGGTAGAAGAGTGGGGGGGGGAGTTTCCAGCTGGGAGAAGGAGATCTGGGTTTTTGGGGAGGGGGAACACAGGTCAATTGGAGAAGGGGATCTGGGTTTTTGGGGAGGGGGACACGGGTATCTGGGTTTTTAGGGAAGGTGGTGGAGGAAGGTTGGAGGGGACGGGTCGAATAGGGTCGGGGGGGTCGGGTGGGAATGAGTTTTGGGGATGCAGAGAAGAGAAAGAGGCAAGAGAGAGATGGGAGAGAAAGAGAGAGATTTAATATATAAAAAAAGATTTTTTTTTAATTTTTAATTATTAAAAATATATTTAATAATTTTTTAATCCAATTGGATTAGTGAGTGGGCCTCGCATGTAGCCACGTCAGCACTTAACAGAGAAATTAATAGAAAAACTGACAGAGGTATGACATTGGCACAAATTCATAAGATGAGGTATGACATTGTCATTTTAAAAAGATGAGGTATGAAAGTGTCGT